CATGAACACCAGCGAAGCGAATCAGTGCCATTTAGGGGAAAATTGTTGGCCGGAAAACAACGACTAGAACAACGCCTCCCCGCAAGAAGGCGCAACACCGAAGAGCAAAACACCTCCACCACCCACCAAACCGCAAACCAAATCACGACCTTGAAAGGGAAGAACGGATTTCTCTCTGTCACATTCACACCAGGAAGGCAAACCAACAATCTGTGGGGACTAAAGCATGCATCTCAGCAACAAATTGGTAATCAGAATATTTGCAAGCAAAGCTTTTCGATCATTGCCTTGCCACGTAGAATGAGATCGCGGTTGAGGCATTACTGAAATTGTTTGGTATTCTTTCAAGCACTTACTTGCTAATCGCATGCAATCATGTCAAAGCTGATCATTCTTACTGGAATAGGGAATGCGAGCATGGTTAGAGAATCGTCTTATTTTGAATGTGCTTTCGAAGAAGCATTTCAATCAGCACGGCCTTGCCCTGATATGTTTAATGGTGGCGTTTCAGTTGCATAACGGGGCTGTGGAAAAACAGGGTCGTATCATCCACCTTACCTCACCCGCCTTCAGTGGGATGAAATCTTTCAATGGGATGTGTTAGTTGTTAATCTTTCTGAAGGTTGCAACCGCCACTTCGAAGTTGACGTCATTACGAGCTGCCCGTTAGTAGGCTTGCTTTCTCTTGCCGTCCACGATTGTCTAAAATCGTAAGTGTTACCATCAACACAACTTCACTTCCAATGTTTCGAGCATAGTTTGCAGAGCACAAGCTGTCGGTGGCTTCTGTCGCCATTGCATGCTATTTAAGATTGCAGTATTTCTAGGCGTGCATCGTAGTGCATGTGAATACTGGTTAATAGATGTGTTTTCGTCATTAATGGTATGCACTTGCTTCTCACTAGGCATGTGTATGCAGATTTTCGCAGTGCAGTTGGGACAACAAGGATGAAGCATGCTTCACGGATATCCAAAAAGGCGGGTTTATTAGAAGGTCGACCATATCAAGTGGAAATAGCCAACATAGCGCGCAGTGAAAGCATCATCGTGAAACTGGGTACTGGTCTTGGGAAATCATTTATCGCTGCTATGGTCATTAAAGACCACCTCCCCGAAACGTATCGGCCGGTCGCAGAAGGTGGCAAACGCATTTTACTCGTCGCGAAAACTGGTGAGTCTACAATTGCCTCTCTTTGTGTCTGTGCAATTAGATTTGACCAATTGAACTTTGGCGTCGCCTTGACATTGTCCTAGTTCATCTTGTGTATCAATTGGCCGAGTTTTTGCGGTCCCAACTCCCTGTCGCCCCCGAGGAAATCGGGATATACCACGGCCAGGTGGCGCCCAGTATCTGGATCGACAGCTGGACAAAAGTGAGATACCAATCTCTTCCTCTCTCTCTCTTTCTTTCGTTCCCCCTGTCTCTCTTTGCAGTTGTTTTTCGTGTGTCGATGCTAATTGGTATGATGTGGATGGCAGGGTATTTGGCAAGAACAGCTGGAAAGGCATAGGGTATTGGTGACTACTGCCGGTGTCCTCCGCGACGTCTTAAATCATCGCAAACTCAGTCTGAATGACGTTTGTCTCATCATCTTCGACGAGTGTCATCACGCTGATCCGGACTCGAAATCCGACTACACCGACATATGCCAACACCTTCATAGCTTTCCACCTGGTAGATGGCTTCCAGATTATTCTCGAGGACCTAAGGTATGCTCCTCAAGTACTGTCACACATCACGCTTCGAGTGTTCTTCTGGTCTCTAATCAACATCAGCCGTGCTGAGATAAGCTGTGCACTAGTGCAGATGTTATGCCGTTCAGATAGATGCATGGTTTATTCATTAGTT